CTTTCTCCCATTCTGTAGGTTGTCTCTTCACCTTGTTGACAGTGTCCCTTGCTGTGTAGGAGCTTTTTATTTTGATGTAGTCCCATTAGTGTATTTTTACTTGTGCCTTTGTAATCTTGCTCAGAAAATCACTGCCTGCTCCCATTTTGTATAGAATCTCCCCTAAGTTTTCTTCTAATAGTTTCATAGTTTCAGGTCTTAAATTTAGGTCTTTAACCCATTTTGAGTTGATTTTTGTGTACGGTGAGAGATAAGGGTCAGGTTTTAATCTTCTGCATGTAGATATCCAGTTTTCCCAGCCTCACTGAAAAGGCTTTCCTTTCTCCATTGTATATTTTTGGCACCTCTGTTGAAAATCGGTTGGCTGTAAGTGTGTGGGTTTATTTCAGGGCTCTCTGTTCATACTATTGGTCAATTTATCTGTTTTTATGTCAGTACTATACTGTTTTGGTTACTATAGCTTTATAGTATATTTTCAAGTCAGGAAATGTGATGCTTCCAATTTTATTTTTTTTGTTCAAGACTGCTTTTGCTATATTGGGTCTTTCGTGGTTCACACAAATTTTAAGGTTGTTTTCTCTATTTCTGTGAAGAATGTCACTGGTATTTTGATAGAGATTGTTTTAAATATGTAGATTGTTTTGGATAATATGGACATTTTGATGATGTTAATTCTTCCAACCCGTGAACATGGGCTATCTTTCCATTTGTACCCTCCCCAATTTTTTTCACCAGTGTATTATAGTTTTCATTGTAGAGATCTTTCACCTCCTTCATTACATTTACTTCTAGGTATTTCATTTTTTTGGTAGCTATTGTGAATTGGTTGATTTCTTGTTTGACTATTTTGTTGTTGGTGTATAGGAAGGCTATTGATTTTTATTTGCTGATTTTGTATGCTGCCACTTTACTGAACTCATTTATTAGTTCTAGTAATTTTTTGATGGCATTTATAGGGTTTTCTATGTATAGGATCATGTTATCTGCAAATAGGGATAGTTTGATTTCCTCCTTTCTTTTCTGGGTACCTTTGATTGTTTTCCCTTGCCTTATTGCATAGGCTAGCATTTCTGGGACTATGTTGAATAAGAGTGGGGAAAGTGGGCATCCTTGTCTTGTTTCAGATCTTAGAGGAAAAGCCTTTGATTTCTACCCATTCAGTATGGTATTAGCTGGGGGTTTGTTGTATATGGCTTTTATTGTGTTGAGGTATGTTCGTTCTATACTTAATTTGTTGAGTGTTTTTATCATGAAGTGGTGTTGGGTTTTATCAAATGCTTTTTCTGCATCTATTAAAATGATCATATGGGTTTTTTTTCCTTCATTCTGTTGATGTGATGTATCACATTTATAGATTTTCATATATTGAACCATCCTTGCATCACCGGGGTGAATCCCACTTGATCATGGTGCATAATCTTTTTATGGTAAAAAGGTTAAATGCATTTTTTTTTCCTTCATTCTGTTGATGTGATGTATCACATTTATAGATTTTCATATATTGAACCATCCTTGCATCCCCGGGGTGAATCCCACTTGATCATGGTGCATAATCTTTTTATGGTAAAAAGGTTAAATGCATTTTCGACTTATGATATTTCCAACTTATACGATGGGCTTATTGGGTAATTGCAGCTTAAGTCAAGGAGCATCTGTATAGATTTTATTATTCTTAAATGTTCATGAAGACATTAAGTTTAGTGTAATGTAAGGAAGGTAAGATAGACTACAAGAGAATTATAATAGTTTCTTTTCCTAGGGGATCACAAACAAAATTACCATATTTTTTAGAGTACTAATATTATACAGGTAAACTCATGTTTGATGGTAAATAACAAACAACTAAAGCATGTAAGTAACTGGAGTTTCACTGACTTAAATGACTTCTTCTGTCCTGGGAGAAATATGAACTCAGAAGAGCTCATTTGGGGACCATCTGTTTTATGTGTCTTCCCACATCACTCTGCATGTGGTGAGAATGTTGGGTAGACCCATAGCAGTTTTTATTCCTCACCCTAGTCTTGATCTTTATTTATGGTCACACTCAAGTCCCTAAAGTGTATAGTCACCTGTTAAATAGGTTTAGTGTAGTCTTTTCATTCATTTTAGGAGTATGTTTTATGAGCAAATTGTAAAGCACCTTAAATACCTATTTGAAGATAATGCTGTAAAAACACAGCACTAGTATTATTGAGATAGTGTCCTTACTAACATACTGGCATTTAAAATTTTGAGAGTGTTTCTTTTCCACATGACTGGTGTATTGGGAATAAGAAATTAGGTCAGGCTGAAAGGCACTAAAGTGCTTCTTAAGTAAACTAGTATTGAATTTTATTAATTAAATTAATTCAATCCTTATTTGTTGTGGGTTGAAAATTTTAATTATCTTTAGTCATGTTCTTGTCCCTGTCACCGCTAGAGCCTTTCGCAAACTTTATGTCTCAATAACTGCAATTGTCTTTTACAAGTGAAATGTGGTTAACCAGGGCAGGTAAACAGGGGCTGTGACTGTGACTGTACTGCCACTGCTCTTTTGACACTAGATCTTCTGTTCTTTGATTTTATTACTGTTAGAATTAAAGAATCAAATATTAGCCATATATTGTTTTCTAAACAGCATCATAGGTCTTTTCATACCAACGTTTCTTGTTAAATTTTTGGCAGGTTCTTTTTTTTTTTTTCCTTTTTGTCTTTTATACTGACCGGTAACGGGATCGCAACCCTCGGTTTGGCAGGTTCTTTTTTTTTTTTTCCTTTTTGTCTTTTTTACTGACCGGTAACGGGATCGCAACCCTCGGTGTCGCGCCCATACCGGGGACCGGCAACCAGATCGCAACCCTCGGTGTTGCGCCCGTACCGCGCTCAGCCAGTGAGCAGGAACCGGTCTCCACATGGGATCCGAACCCTTGGTGGGAGCGCTGCTGCGCTCCCAAGCGGCGCACTCTCCAGTGTGCCACCGGGCTGGCCCAAAACATAGCAAATTTGTTTTTTGTTTTTTTTTTTGAGACCGGCCGCACGGCACTCAGCCAGCGAGTGTACCGGCCATCCCTACATAGGATCCGAACCCGCGGCCTTGGCGCTCCCAGCGCCGCACTCTCCTGAGTGCGCCACAGGCTTGGCCCAGTGTGGCAGGTTCTACCTGTACTGTGTAACGTATTTGCAAGGACTTTTGTGCTTGTGAAGTAACCAGCTGTGGGAGAGGATCCCAAACAGATGTAACATTTCTGTGATGAAGACTCATGCTATTGTTTAATTACAGATTCTGATCTTGTCTTTTACATGTGTGTGCTTATGTGTTTCAGGAAAAAAGTGCCAGCTCAAATGTAAGACTTAAAACTAATAAAGAGATTCCGGGATTAGTTCATCAACCCAGAGCAAAGTAAGTTCTAATTCCTATTTTCCTTACATTGTTTTTAAAACTAAAAATGTTTTTAGAGTGAGTTCCATTTTGCCTACAGGTTGAGCATCTCTTATCAAAAATGCTTGAGACAGAAATGTTTTAGATATTGGATTTTTCTGGATTTCAGAATATCTGCAGAGTGCAGTACATACCGGTTGAACATCCCTAATCCAAAAATCCAAAGTCTGAAATGCTCCAATGAGTATTTCCTTTGAGTATGATGTCAGCACTCCAAAAGTTCCAGATTTTGGAGCATTTCAAATATTGGATTTTTGGATTAGGGATGCTCAGCCTGTATCAGCTTAATCAAGACTTATTATAAAGCTTTAGTAATTGAGACAGTGTGGTTTGGTGTAACGGACAGATTAGAGTCCCCAAACAGACCCACAATACATAACAAAGCTGTCATTGCAGGCCTGTTAGAAGAAAATAAAGGGGAATATCATTATGACTGTGGGATATGGAGGAATTCTGAATAAAACACAAAGGATGCAAACCTTAAGGAAAATCATTAATTAATGTCTGCATTAAACTTGAGAACTTCTGTTTAACTTCTGCTTATATGCCATAAGAGAGTGAGAGGTCATAAAATCAGGGGAGATATTTGCAATACATATACTTGACAGTAGTTGGGTTTTAAGAATACTTAAAGTAATTCTACGAATCAATAAGTAAAAGACAGACACCCCATAGAAAAACAGGCTAAAGACATGAATAACCAATTGACTGAAGAAGAAACATGGATGCCTAATATATATGAAAAACGCCATTTCATACCACCAGATTGGCAAACATTTACAAATCTGACGATACAAAAGATTGACCAGGATGTGGAATAACATAACCCCTGCTGGGGGGAATATAAACTGGTATAATTACTTTGGAAAACAATCTGCGTTATGTAGCACAATTGAACCTAGGCACACCTTATTCCCCAACAACTCCACTCCCAGGTCTATACCCTTAAGAAGCTCTCGTTACATTTGTACCAGGAGACATAATTTGAAAGGTTCATAGCTACACTTTACCTGTGCTCTTAAAGCTCTTACAGGTAAAGCCCAAATGTCCATCAAAAATAAAACAGGTAACAAAACTGTGGCATATTCCTGTGATGGGAATACTACACATCAGTGAAAATGAATAATGTAAATCTACATATACCATGATGGAGGAATCTCATAAATACAAGGTCACGGCCATAGAGTAAGTAGCCATATGTGCCTCTATATAGTTTCATTCATGCAAAGCTCAAAAGCGACAGAACTAAGCAATACATTGTACGTAGGTTTATTGTGAAACATTAAAGAAAAGTAATGACATGGGTGTTCCTTTAATAATTATTCAAAAATGTACAGATAACGTTATATATTTTCTATGTGTTATGTATTCATAAAAAGTTAAAAAGGAAATAAGAAAAACAGAAAAAGTTCTTTTAAAAAAGATTATATCGGGGCCGGCCCAGTGGCGCACTGGATAGTGCGCCGCTTGGGAAGCACGGCAGCGCTCCCGCCCGAGGGTTCGGATCCCACATACAGACCGGTTCCCGCTCACTGGCTGAGCGAGGCGCGGGAGCGGCACCGAGGGTTGCGGTCCCATTGCCGGTCCCCGGTCCGGTGCAGGGGCGACACTGAGGGTTGCGATCCGTTGCCGGACACGGAAAAAGACAAAAAAGACAAAAAAAAAAAAAAAAAAGATTATATCACGTGAGGATGTATATAGTGCCTGGTACGTGTCCTTACTGGTAGTGGGAACTTGAAAACAAGATTGTTGATTACCAACAGGTGATCATCCCTAAGTATTTTATTAAAATAGTGAACATGGTTTTAAAAAGTTAGTTTTCCACTCCTAGAGTAGTTTTCTAGATTGTTCTAGAACTCAGGCTATCTTGGTGATAAAATGCACTTTAGTGTGACTTTGAAGCTATCCTCTCCTTTCTTCAAAGAGGCTCTCTTATGCCAGAGGCTACAAATCTCTACTGTGGTGTCCCATCTAAATACAGACAAACTCCCTGAGGGTACCAATGACACTGGTTCATTTGACACACTCACCTCCCACCCCAAAATAAATTGGACTATTCTAAATATGTATTAGTAGCCCCATAAAGCAAAATTTTTTTTTTCCCTTTTTGTCTTTTTTTGTGTCCTGCAACGGACCGCAACCCTCAGTGTCACGCCCGTACCGGACCGGGATCGGCAACGGGATCGCAACCCTCGGTGCCGCGCCTGCCCCTCGCTCAGCCAGTGAGCGGGAACCAGTCTGTATGTGGGATCCGAACCCTCGGCGGGAGCGCCGTCATGCTCTCAAGAGGCGCACTGTAGCAGTGCGCCACCGGGCCGGCCCCCCATAAAGCAAAATCTTAATCATAAGAAGTTATGTTATCTCTGATTCTTCCCAGAAAATTGAGAGAAAAATAACCTAGTTCCTAATCACTTTAACCTGGCTCCGTGTCTTCTACAGCTATGCCACTATGGTATAGCAATTGGGATAGTGAATGGGCTCAGGAATGTAATTCTTCCTTTCAAAAGAAACTAGACATTTTTTTTT